TTTTTTTTTTTTTTTTTTTTGGATGGGGGGAGGGGTAGTTGAGAGAGATGGAGTAGGTTTTAGGACGCTTCTAAGTAATTTTTTCAACCATTACGTGATTTGTATTCGTCTAAAATATAGTCTTTATTTCTGTTAGCATGAGTGAAGATTTCTATTCATATTAAAAAGAGCCTCATCGTGTGAGATTTTACAACATTATAACCACATGGAAACTAGTCAAAATACTAATTAATGCCTTGATGCTTTCCTGGAGAAATTATTTTAGTCTAATATCTCCTTCTCAGGAAGCTCTTTATACAGCTCCAGACTCCTCCCTTTTTAACTTCATCTCTTTATGCTTGTTTATTTCTCCTCTCCATTGCAATAAGTAAATCCTTTTACTAACTTACTGATAATAACAAAAAGACAATAATAATAATAACAACAACAATAACAACAGTGAGAAGCGTTGAGGAAGAACTAACCCTAGCGTTGGTTCCCCTTGATTTTTTTCCCCATGTATTTAAAAATTCTATGTTTTTAAAAAATTCTACAAACTGGTCTTAAAAAGACACTGATTCCTGGTTCTCTTCCCAGTGCTAGTGCTTTCAGTCTCACTTAAGTCTTAATTTCTGTGTCTGTAAAATCTTAACTGCCCCACTTCTGTAGGGATAATGTGAACAGCATGTTGAGATTCTCCGATCAAAGCATGACAAAATTACTTAATATTGTTAACACAAATCAATTTCTCATCTTCATAAGCTCATAGTGTAAGATGTTCTCCAGAGTGTCATTTGCTGGGTTACTGCTTAAGTGTGCTTATTCTCTTGCCTGCATAGTTATCCACCGCAGAGTATCTAACGCTGCTTCAATGCCATCTGATCTGATCTCTTAACTTGGCTTTGTGAGGAGCAAAACTTCAAGATTCTTCTAATTCAGTCTGCCAGTCACTGCTACCCCAGTAACTTTTGAACTGAGGGTCAACTTTAATCCAATTAAACACTGAAGGCTCAAGAAAATCCAGTTCCTCCACGTAATTTCATGTAGCTAGCTAGAGAGAGCCTATTAGTACGCTCAGCAAACCAGCAGCAGAGAAAACTTTATTTTCACTTTAGCCGGCCTGGCAGCGAGCAGCCAGCCTGGGGCAGCTTGGTTAGTCCATCCATCCACATGGACACGTGTGCTTTGTGTCAGTCAGGCTCCCCACTGCTCCCGGCCCAGCAAGATCAGTATGGGAGAGCATGAAGGCCATAGGGATGTCCTTACGTGCCTCGGCTTAGAGGAGCGCAGAAGGGACCACGGAAACCATGCTAGATGAAAAACACAGGCCTGCAGGAAACTAGGTGCCGCTGCTGGGTGGACCTGCCCTCTCTGGAGCTGCTTGAAGCACAGTATTAACTACAGAGCTCAGAACGCAAGTCTGGCAAGTCCTAGTAATTCCCAGAAAGCAGTCAACACAGTTGAAAGCAGTTGAAACCACACTTCCTTATTCTCTACATGCTGGTCTACCTTGGTGTCTGTGACCAAGGGACAGCTATAAGCAGCAAGCAGGTTGGAGCTTGAGGCCCACAGAGTCTTTAGGCGTAGCACATGCAGCTTAAAGGCTGCCAAATTTTCTGTTTCACGCTTGGAGAGGAGGAGGTGCCCACTGTGCCCTCCCACAGAGATGGCGCGCATCTCCTCCCGGCACAGGCGGCAGTGACTCCGAGGTCGACACAGCTTCAGAGTGCTCCTCGTGCAGAGAGTTCTCACAACACAAGCCGTGGCGTGTTCGCGTCAAAGGGCGCCTCTGTTTCCTGGCGGCACGCGAGCAGAGGGAGGCAGGCAGTGCCAGTCGTGCCTGCAGCTCATGTTGGGCAGACATGGTCTGCAAAGGCAGAGAGGGAGGCCAGCTCTCTAGGATGCGGGCTACCAGATACCCATGACAGTGCAGCAGCTTTCAGTCACCAGAGTGAACATTTTACCTTTACCAGTTCAGCTAATTGCTTGTTGAGGAGTGACTTGAGCTTGCTTGCAATGTAAACTTGATGTTTACGATATACTAGGTCCTGAACATATAGTTCTGCAGTATCCTATGGAAGCATGGAGGAATTTCACACTGGATAGACTTTCTAAGCCCCTTCTAGAGATTGGTAGCTTCAGAATTAGAATCCACCAGGCAAACTAAAAAAGGAAAAAAAACTTAAAAAAAAAATACCAAAGGAAACCCCAAACATCAATACCAAGAATACAAAACCCAATCCTCTGAAGCCGCCTGGCTGTGTTTCGGCTTCGCTGCCGGCAGGTGGACTCTGAAAGGCCTTATAGAAGTGGTGCTTCCTGCGGAGGCGGCAGAAGAACAAAGCTCGTGGTGCTGCCTTTTCTCCTCCTTGCCCCACTCTGCTAAACCGTGGCCTCCAATTCCCCAACACCGCCCAGGGGAGCAAGATGAAGTGGAGGAGGATTGTTAGCTTTGCTCTCCTGCAGGCACTGCTCCCAATTACAGGTAAGGCTGGCTTTTATATTACAAGGAGCTATTCTAGAACTCTTTTGAGGTGAGGAACGCGCACAATGGTTCTGTTGGATTCCCCACCCTTCTGGTAGAAGGAGGGTATCCACGTGCGAAGCTTGACCATATCCGTCTCCCTCATTATGGCTAGTTATGCACTAGCTCAGGAACAGGGCTGCAGGACTCGTCCAACGTGAATCTTCCTTGCTCTGACGATGCCCTTTGGAGGCTGCGAGGAGGAAATGAGGGCAGCAGCAGTAGGTGACTGCCGGTGAGGCCTGGCTTTAGTTGTGTCGGAGCAAATATGGGTGAATAACAACTTGTAGCTACATGTGGTTCTCAGCCCCTACCCCCAAGAGCTTTCCTTGGGATTTAAATAGAAAAATTTGCTCCAGTGTTGAAAATGTAGTCACTTCCAGTAATGTGCCTAAGAGAGGCTTTTAATTTAGCTAGAGGAGTTACTTCTTAGTAGTATGCTAAGTAGTATATATTAGTAGTAATTATGCTTAATACCATGCTTAGTAGTGTGCTGGTTTGCATACCCAGCATAGGAAATACGGGAGAATATGTAAGGCTTGAATGCCTAAAATTCTGCCATTTGCCCCATTACCGTCATGCTTGTCTCCACTAGACACAGTTTAAAATGAAAAAAATGTTGCCTTTTTATATTTATTTCTTTTGATGTATACATTGGCTGCTCTTTGGCAGAAAGTAATGCAGCCTTAGTAGGCACAAATCTTTAAAAGGTCATTTTGGAAGAGAGAAATATTAATAGTTCATAGGAGCAAGAAGAGAAAAAAAAGTACAGAGAAGGCCTAGAGATAAACCTGAGTTTGGAGAAGTCTGTAACTATGAAAGACTAGTAGGCCATCATAGTGCATGTATTTAAAACAAAATTCACTGGAAGAGTTTCTTCCATAATGTGAGTAGAGAATATTCTTAAATACATATGCCATCCTTATACTGAAAATCTTTGGAGATTGTGGCAGACTTTTTGTTCAAGTTTTTGGAAATTAGAGAAAGAATTCACTGCCACTCGCTCTGTGGAACCACTTCTAGTAACCTGTGGACGTGCGCTCTCTGTGGTAAGTATGCATTCTTATATTTGTGTTACATTTATTAAGCCTATGTCCCTTTCTGATATCTAAGTGCATTGTGGACACTGTATGCAGAGGTGAAGACACCAGACATGAATAAACACGAGAATACTCTTTGTGCTGGGTCTATGAAAAAGGTTCTGAAATTTATAGGCCTTTAAGATTTCTCAAGAAAAGGTGATTTTGTTTCATATGCCTATATAGAAATTACTTAAAGTCACAATGTATCTGAAGAAATCTTTTCTCATTTTCTCCTTTTATTCTGTCCTAAGACATCAATATTTTGCTTAGTTCATTTGTACATTTTTAGCAAGAAAATTTTTATTGAAATGTAAAAAGATGTAATATGGTTTGCAAATGGCTAAAGCCAAGCAGTATAAGGTTCTTTCGTGAATAGTTCTTAGGGATATTCATGTTCACAAAGAACATATAGCCTCAAATTTTGAACAGATCACAGTTGACATGGATTTTGAGACTGTTGCCTAAGGATTTGCAAGGGAAAGCACGCTTGAGATAATATCTGTAGTTCTTCAAGAAGTAGTAGACATGAGCTTCAAAGTATTGGTGTAAAATAAAGATAGTACAATATGTATAGAGTCATTGTGATGTTACTGATGCAAGATACTGACACAGTAATAAAAGTGGGAGCTCAACACCATGTCCAAAGCTGAGGAGACCAAGCAGGTGAGTTTTTCAGTTCGGAGCTCTGAACAGAAGCAAAGATCTGCTGCTGCTGCCTGGGGCACTTTCAAGTCCTTTTAGAATGAATTAAGTTTTTCTTTTTTTTTTTCCAAAAACCCAATTTGAAGTAGATAGATGGGCAGTAAGCTGCATACCATCTTACAGTGAATTAATTCTACGTCACACTAATGCAATTTTGTGCTTTTTTGCTATCTAGTTAGCTTAAAGATGCTGCCAGGATTTGGACTGATGAATTCCTGATGACTTTCCTTTTGATCTTTTGAGTAATGAAGTAAATATGGCAGGCGTGAGAAACATTTTGTTTTCAAATAAGTAATTCTAGAGATGGACAACAGATTCTGATGAAGATTTTGAATTACTGGCAGCAGACCACAAATTTCAGACTGCTCAAACTTGACCTTTGAACAGTTAGAGAGATGCGTTTTTACCATATCCATGTATAGTCTTCTGTATTTTTATTTTATATCATATCCACATTTAGTACATGCCATATTTCTACATTTAGAAGTACACAAGAGTTGATTTGGAAGTTAGTCTGAGGTCACCCTATATCAATTCATATAAAAAGTGCATAAAAAGAAATATTGCAAATTCTGAGCAGATTACTTTGTTAATCATGTAAGTTGTTGATACATAAGAACAATTTTAAGAGACTGAAGGAATCCCAAACAAAATGGCAAAAAGTCGTTCCATATTTTACAGAGTTTTTCGTCTAAAGCGTGACAGGCTTCAATAGCACTAAAGCAGTTAACTGCAAGCAATGTTGTAGAATTGCTCCTAATTTCCATTTAAGGCTGTTGACATGATATTTTGATTTCTATATATATATTCTGTGATTCTGTGATTCTGTGTGATATATGATACATGCAAAACCACTCACAGTTATGTAAATACGCACACACATACAAGGGTGCAAGGGTTCCAAAAACGATCCTCTGTTTTGCAGTTCTTTACAGAATCACTTTTTTTCCAGACTCATGCGTTAAATAAAAGTGGGCCAAGTATTTTTGCCATCTCTGAGGAAAGCAGAACATATCTGCCTGGGATGGATTTGTGCGGGTCATTCTGACAATATTTTGCTGCTCTCCACAACTGTCTCCATTGGGCACCATGGCACTCGGGGAACCTTTGCCTGTAATTCAGTTCATAGTCAGGAATTCATTACATCCTTTCCTCAGAGCACGTATTAAACAGATATGCAAACTGTTGGATCCGTAAACTAAAAGTAGTTTACAGGGCTATCTAGGAAACTCAAGTCAACGTAAACTATTTCGGATACCATCTCCACTTCCACATCCCCCGTCTCTACCCTGTTTGAGCTGGATTTGTCTCGCGCGCCGGGAAAAGGCGCGGAAGGTAGAATTTCGTGTTGTTTTCTTTCCTTTTGGGCCTTTCTCTTCACAACGAATCATTAATAATTCATGAAAAAAACCCCTCTGAACCGGGCCATTTGCAATGGGAACAAAATCGGGACAACTGCAGGTTTCCTTTGAAAGGGGCCGTTTCTCGAACTCTTGCAGTGCTACGTTTGTTTCTCGAGGGCTTGTTGTGCAGAGTAAGTGCTTTCTATCTGAAACCTTCCCAGCCAAATTCCTGATGAGTGAAGTAACAGGTTAAGGATCGCATTCCTTCTTTTTTTCTTTTTTTTCCTTCATGCACACTGGAGGGGATCTATACATAACTGTCTTAAAATATATTTCTCTTTTATAAGTTTAGCCTTTTTAAATAAGACTATGTGGATAAAAAGTCAAAACGGAGAAAAAATATAGGAGATTCACTAGCAGCTTAAAAGAGATCAGAACTCGCTTTATTCATTCATTCTAGACATTCACGTAAGGAACACTTTTGACAGCCATTTTCTGTTATTCACACAAACCTGAATTGTGATTAGTGCCATGGGTAAGCCAGTTAACCTCTGTGTGTTTATAATCCTTGTTTTCCTAATGTCCTTTAAAAAAAAAGATTTACTTGCCCCATGCCATTGCAGACAAACATCGAATAATGCCCTCCTCCAACTAATTTTATATCTTTGAATATCTGTATTGTATGTAAAAAAGCAGCAGCTCCTTTGACAGAAAAAATACAGTATGTATTTTTAGAGTGGCATGAATGGAAGGTACAATGTAAAATTATTTCTGAAGCGTTTATCATGCTAAAGGTGTGCATGCATCTATGCATCTGTGCATCTGTGCATGTACACATTTGTGTAAGTTGTTGATTTTCATTGTTCTACTGCTGCGACTTCAGTCAACAGTTACATTAGAGTTTTGATTGATACTTCTTTTTATCACCAAGAAAACAGCTTATGCTGTTCCGCTGTATTGGAGAATTTGAAGTTTTACGGACTGCAATAATTCAATATTCAGAGACTGGTTCAGAATATTGTCCTGTCAATTAAATTCAGTTCTCCATCTTTAAAAATAAATAGTATTTGTATTTTAAAATATTATGATCCAAAGCAGATTTCTCTGGTAAGCAAAGGAGATGGTATTTTCATGCTGTCATATGCAACAGATTAATAATTTTATAAATAGCCTAGATAAATGTGCCTCCAAATGAGAAGCTGAGTTTGCAGTTCTTCCGTCTGCTCACTCAAATGCACAAATTTTGAGAAACAGTGGAAATGTCCAACCACAAACCGTGGCTAGGCCCATCTTTGCAAAAGACAGATGGACTTACGGATGTGTAATTCTTTCGCTCCTTTGACAATTTATCTATTAAAAATAGAAGTGAAAAATATCCATCTGCTAAACACCTAAGCTCTTGAGTGCTGGTGTCTATTCAAGTTCTGTTTATGTAGTAGAAGTTAGATTAATTTTTGAACCATATGTGTTGGAAATATTTGAATCCCTAACAGGTTTTCTAATATTACACCAACCTTTTGAAGCCTTTTATGTATTTTGCTCATGACACTTTGTTACAGAGTTGATTCAGTCTTAGAAATCAGAAATTGTGCAGTCAACTAGGATAGACAAAAATATACAAAATGAAAGGAAGAAAAAGAAATGAAAAGACTGGGAGTTTTTCATCTCTCCTTACTTTTGGTATGTGACAGTTTGTCAAACAGAGCTTCTGGCAAAGGGTTTTCTGAGCCAGATTAAATACCACGGAATATATAATCATAGGGAAATCTCCATCTATATCCGGATTCTTTCTCCAAATAAGAAATATTTGAATTTATTGCATTTTTAAACAAAG